CCAAAGTAACGTGGGGCGAGCTTCATAGAGCGCTGAAAATCCACAGAAGTCTGTCGATAAGGCTGCAGTTTCAAATACACATAATCACCCACAACGAATGAAGCCTCACGTCGGTGCTGGTCTGCTTGACACTACATTCGATCCCGAGCTAGCCGAAGGTTGTGTTGCAACTCATGTAGAATGATATCTCGATCACGCAGGTACTCATCTACTGCTCCGATGCAGGCAGTACTTGGTACATAAGCCAGTAGACATGGGGGTGGGATACCGTAAACTGCTTCGAAGGGTGTCATCTTGGTGGAAGAGTGAGTGGATGTGTTGTAGCTATACTTCGCCCAAGGAATCCATTCGAGCCATTTCCGTGGCTGGTCACCGGCAAAACATCGTAAATATTCTCCAAGGTTTGATTTATAACTTTGGTTTGGCCGTCGGTTTGGGGGTGGTAACTTGAGCTCATACACAACTTCGTCCCATGCATTTGGAAAAGTGTTTGCCAAAAAGAGCTGATAAACACATTGTCGCGGTCGCTAACAATTGATGTTGAAATTCCGTGTAGGCGAACAATGTTGGCGACAAATGCCTTAGCGATAGTCATGGCGGTAAATGGGTGTTTTAGGGGTATGAAGTGGGCATATTTTGTCAATCGATCAACAATTACCATGATAACAATATACCCATTAGAAGGCGGTAACCCCTCGATAAAGTCCATCGAAATGTCTGTCCACATTTGAGCGGGAATTGGTAGCGGCTGAAGCAACCCCGCTGGCCTCATGCAATCTGTCTTGAAGCGTTGACATACATCGCATTGTTGCAAAAATTCCTTCACCGCCCGACGCATATTAGGCCAAAAGAAACTACGCTTGATACGAGAGAGAGTTTTATGGAATCCAAAGTGCCCACCTACTGGAGATGTATGGCAGTCAGCAATTACCTTTGAAATCAAGGTTGAGGCAAAGCTCAAATAAATTTTGTCTCCTTTGAACCACACTCCATCTCGTTGGATCAGCTTGTGGTTTGAACGAGAGGGGCATTTCTTCATCAATTATTCATAAAATGCATCCTGTTGGACTTTTTTTTGCAGCATCGGCCACCAATCTGCATGTGGTATTGAGATTGATAGAAATTGAAATTCAACTACACGTGACAAAGAATCCGCACCTTGATTTTCAGCCCCTTTTTTATACTCAATTTCGTAGTCATAACCAAGTATCTTTGGCAGCCATCGTGTTTGTGCTGGTGTAGTTATTCGTTGCTCGAGTAGATACTTAAGACTTTTTTGGTCTGTGCGGGACTGTAAAGGGTTTCCCAAGCAGATATGGGCGCCATTTCTTAATTGCTTTGACGATAGCTAACATCTCCTTCTCATAGGTGGATAGTGCCAAGGCCGAACCCTTCAATGCTTCACTAAAATATGCCACCAGTCGATTTTGCTAGGTAAGGATTGCACCAAGTCCAGTTCCGCTCGCATCGCACTCAATCATGAATCGTTGAGAAAAATCCAGAAGACATAAAATTGGTGGTGAAGTTAGTGCCTTCTTCAACTTTTTAAAAGCCATCTCTGTTGCCTCGTTCCATTGAAATCCTTCCTTGGTCAAGAGTTGGGTCAAAGGAGCCGCTATGCTTCCAAAGTTACGAATAAACTTCCGGTAGTAACCTGCTAAACCGAGAAAACCACAGACCCCTTTTGTTGTTGTAGGTGTAGGCCACTCAATAACTTGTATTTTGATTGGATCAATCGACACCCCTTGCTCCGAAATTATATGACCCAAGTACTCGACCTGCGAAACACCAAATCAACATTTCAACATTTTTGCAAACAAATTGTTAGAGGATAAGATTTTTAGAACAATTTGCAAATGAGAGATATGGTCTTCCCATGGTTTCGAATACACCAGAATATTGTCACAGAAAACCAAAATAAATTTCTGGAGGTATGGACGGAAGTGATCGTTCATGAAGCTTTGGAAGGCTGCAGGTGCATTCGTTAGGCCAAATGGCATCACTATGAACTCGTAATGCCCTTCATGCGTCCGGAAGGCTGTCTTAGGGATATCTTCTTCTCGTACTCGGATTTGATGGTACCTAGACCGTAGATCCAATTTGGAGTAGAATTTGGATTCGTGGAGCTCATCTAATAGTTCATCGATCATAGGAATTGGATACTTATCTTTAACCGTGATGTCGTTCAGTGCTTGATAGTCTATACAAAATCACCAAGCTCCATCTGCTTTCTTCATTAACAGAACCGGTGACGAAAATGGGTTGTTACTTGGCCTTATCAATCCTGATTGCAAAAGCTCTTTCACCATCTTCTCTATCTCAGTTTTCTGATAATATGGGTATCGATACGGCCTCACACTAACTGGTCCTTTGTCTGGAAGGAGCAGAATCTGATGGTCATGTGGTCGTCTTGGAGGCAAGTTGGTGGGTGGTTCAAATACATGGGAAAACTCAGTTAGGAGGTGGTCCATCTTAGGTGGGTAACAACTTGGTTGGTTGCTGCTATTGGAAGGAACTATTTGAAAAAGGAACCCAGTACCTTGTAATCCATTGCACTCATTGTCAGTTAGGGCTTCGATGCTGACTCGTCCCAATCCTTGGAAGGTGCGAGAAATTCCTTCCCTCTTGAACGTTATGGTCAACTGCTTGTAATCCATCTCGATGGGTCCAAGAGTTTCAAGCCATTTCACCCCTAATACCAACTGGCACGCCACGACTAGAAGAACGTAGTAGTTGGCAGTAATGGAATATCCTTGAATGGCGAGGGTGAGAGCCCGACACTGCCCAACACATTCTATGTTTTCTCGGTTGGCGACCATGACTTGAAATTTCTTGCCTCGGCTCACTGGTAACCCAAACTTAGAGACTATTGCTTGGTCAATGAAGTTGTGAGTGCTGCCGCCATCAATTAGCATCGTCACATTCTTGTTTTTCAGCTTGCCTAGAACACGTATGGTTTGTGGGTGTTCAGTTCCTGCAATTGCATGAAAAGAAATCTCAGGGATAACTTCTTGATTTTCTGCCTCTGGTTCGACATCCTCAATATCCGCATGGACTGGATCCTCGATCATAGATAATTGTGGTCGTTCGCAACGGTGGCCAGTAGTGAACTTCTCGTCACAATAATAACATAACCCCTTCTCGCGACGTTCTCACGCCTCTTGGTTGGTAATTCGCTAGAATGTTGCTGGTGGAGCACTGGAAATCTGGTTCGTGCGCTGGGTTGGTGGAGGCCCTAGCACACCGGCTGTTGGGTTAGGTGACACCCTATGTGTCACTAAGGCTGGTTGGGAACGAACTTGCTGGTTTGGTTTCCTTTGTAACTGATTTCATTCCTCAATTATTCGAGCCACTCCGATTGTATCTATCAAGGTTCTAGGCTGTTTAATTTTCACGTCTATGCGAATGTCATCACGAAGTCCTGCAATAAAAAAACCAATTAGAAAACTCTCGGGCAGGCCGTCAAATCGATGGGAGAGCTTTTCGAAAGCTTCTTGATAAGCTGCCACAGATGTGGTTTGTTTAAGGCGAGTTAAAGCTTCCGACGGGTCCTCGTAGTCGGTTGGAACAAATCGATGTAGCACAGCCCTGGAGAATTCTTCCCATGTGAGTGGTCCGCGATGTTTTGTCAACCACTTGTGCCATTGCAAGGCAATGCCTTCTAAATGGAAGGAAGCTAGTTTCACTCGTTGGTCTGGTACAATATTTTTGAAATCAAAATATTGCTCTGCTTTGTAAATCCAGCCACTTGGGTCATCCCCATTAAACTTTGGGAAAGACAAATTGAGGTGTTGATGAGGGCGATCATTGGTGGGGTTGGAACGAGACGTATGTTGGTGTGAGGACTCTTCATGTGCGAAGGGGTTGATCTCGGGAGGGGTTTGTGTGGTTCGTAGGGCTTGGAGCTCGGTTAACATTGCTTGTAAGGTAGCATTCACCTGATCAAAGCTTGACTCAGGTCGTGCTAAGATCTCGTTGACTTCGTTGCGAAATTCTGTGTTGGTTTTGCTGCGAGTGTCCATGGTCGGAACCGGCTCTGATACCACTGATATGACTGAATTTAAGTAAAGGAGAAGAGGGTCAGAGAGAGGGAGAAAGAAAGAATTCTACGACAAAAAATGCTGATGATTTTTATTCACTCCTTCAGGCTATATTTATTGCATTACTGTGTAACAACAATACTACAAACTAGGAAATAAAATAGGAACTGCTCACCCCTGGGGCTTATCTACTAAAACAAACTAAGCTTATCTACTACTGGCTAAAAGATATTCAAAGATACTAACAGACTAAAAAACAAACTTGACCAAGTCTCATGCTGCCACTGCCACATAATTCGTGCACATATCAAGGCCCTTTCTAACTTTAAATTAATTTGCCGCATACAAGATTCATTGGTCATTTAGGCTGCGTTTGCGGTGCAAGTACCGGACTGGTGTAATTAAAACTCTGATTCAGTTATGTAGCTGTTTGGATGAAATATAATTAAACACCGAAATTTGATGTAAAATTTCATTCACATCGAGACAACTTCGTTAAAAAACAATCTAAACATTTACATCGATGTACAACTCCAAGTGTAATTGTTCTTTTACACTGCAATCAAATGCAGACTTGCAAAAAAAACTTGCTAAATAACCTATATAGTAGATCATCTCCCATTGATTTGTAAGACATTACTTTTTAAAATATTCCATCCTGTATTGGGGGTTTGCAAAATTAATATTGGCTGTTCTGAGCATCAAATTGCGAATATGAAATTTACATGGCGACAGAAAAAATATGAATTTACAAGTATGACTACTCGGAAAGAGTGACCGGGTTATTAGGGAAATAGCTTACCAATCCATTCCTTCAACATAGTTTGTACTTGTTGTATATCAAGGTACCAACTCCTTAAATGTAGGATGCTTCGAATTCTTTTTTATCGTAGATTATATTTTTGAATTTCAATTAAGATTCCTAAGATTTGTTCCTTTCAGCTTTACACGATAGCAAGATCCAAGCCAAATCGACTCCGAATTGAATCTATTTTCTTAATTACTACATCCATGCACTGTTAATTCACATTGCCATTAATCAAGGTTGACCTGCTTCATAAGATATCTTCATAATGTACAAAGAAATACGATAACCCATGCCGCATTACATGAAACATATCCCCCTTCCCAGAGAATCAGAGATGAATGCAATCTGTCATTATAAGGTAGACGCGTAAATTGGCTGGCTCCTTTGAGTTCGGAACGACTAAACTCCCATACAATTACAACCTGCCACACATGAAACATTATCACCAGGAAACCTGTTTCATTTAAGATACCGAGTACTGCACAGCCTTGCTGCTATACCAACAAGGCAATGACATTCAAGAGTTACCAGCATCCATGAGAGAACAAAGCAGGATATAGTTTTGATCTTCCTTTGAGATGGGCTCTGTTTTTCCTTTTAATATTTCTTGGTATTTATATCGTATACATCTTACAATATAATACCTTTCCACGAATTGCCTTTCAAAGTTGATGACGTTAAAAAAAGCAGTCACTGTGCACACTTCCAAGTGGGTTTATCATGATTGTTCTGGAATCTGAAATCATACACAACCACATTGATTTTACAGATATTGATCTACACAAGACAAAATAAGTAGACTATATTATTCCGTCTAAGTTATATGCTAGTTAACCCGTGAATACGAGTGCAGTTCTGCAGTCTGCTACACAGTTTCTCCACTATTCCAAGAGGAAAGAAAGAAGAACGATGATTGGCAAGCATCAAACAAATTGGCAAGGGTAGTACAGATCCCACTAGAATAAATTGAAACGTAATATATGGCGTCAGTAAAAAATGGAAATCTTCCATGAACTAATTTATCATTTGACAATAATATGCTACACTGTAAAACAGAGCATGTAAAATTTAGAAAGTCAGTTCTAATGGACAATGAACTGATGATTTTTTTTTTTAAAGAAGCTAGTCCTTCATGTAAAATAACACCTAAGATGGGCAATTTTATAGGATGGTGACAGCTAAAGTCCCAAGCCATTGAAAGATCCTAATGTCAAACAATTAAATGCTCAGTGTAGTACCCTTCGAAGAAGTACAAGAATGGAGAAAAAGATAAAATGGAACTAAATACAAGGATTGCCCTGTATTGTCTTCTCCACCATCCTTCTGTCCTAGTAAAACGGATTTAGGTCAAAATTTTACTTTGTAGTGTACATACAAGCACTACATTAGCATGATGGGTCTCCACTTACATGAGAGAAATGTACAGAAACTCCTTGGGCAACAGGCCCAGATCCCCTTTTCAGGAGGAGGAAGGTGTGAACAAGAAGGTCTGATAATGAGGTCTGTCATCATAGTTGTTATCACCATTATTACCTCCCTGGTTTGGAAACTTCAGAGGTGGGAAATCTTCATCTTTCAACTGATAAATCCTCTGAGCAGCCGATCTGGCAAAATAATCAAACCCCCCTGTTAAGATAATACATTGACAGCATCACAAACAATCCCAACATAGGAATAAGGAGGAATTACTAAAGATCAAGCATTACATGTATGGCAACCAACTAGATTGATGAGCATGGGGGGCTCTGAAATTCCCAACAACTGAATGCCACTACCATCCAACCAATATGATCAGGATATTTTTGTTTGGGATAATAAGATTGGGACGCTCTACAAATTTGTTATCAATAACAAAGATAGTTGGTCAAATTGAGTTTCTAGATTGATGAGCAATTGAGCATGTCCACCCCATCCATGTATGGCAAAGAATTGGTCTGCTAAATTGTGCTAAGCTTATCCTGTAATACAAGCCCCTTTCTGTAAAGAAAATCAGCACTTGGCTTAAGAGAAAATTAAAGACTGAGAAAATCATTCCCTAGGCCAGTAAAAGTTTAACATTACATGTAACTAAAGTTTATATTGCACAAGAAAATGGCAGCGCTATTACCTTTGAAGTTGAGGAGACGATGGTTGATCAGGCGAAGAGCGTGCAGGAGAACTGACTTGAAATCTCTGCTGCTCATACACAGTCCTAGCTGGACCTCCTTCACTGAGCTGTGATACTTCACTTGTACCTGAAAAATGCACTGGCCCAAGAGAGCCAAACTCAAGTTGCTCAGCAGGTGAACTATAATTGGAGGTATGATCATAGGAGTACAACATGACAACAGATGGAATAGCAGGTCCAGTTGGTGACACGCCATTGGGGTTCATGGGAGGAAGTGGGTACATGCTGTATGCAACATTTGCAGAGCCACTGTGCATGGAGTTTGATGAACTGAATAGACCATTCTGGGACTGGTAAGGGAACGAATCATGCCTGTATGAATCCCATGGCCTGTCAGCTCGGTTATCACTTGCTGCCAGTCGGTCTGGCTTTGAGTTTGGCTTCTCATTGCGGCCATGGCTACGACCAGTAGCTCGTGGTTTCATGTTTATATTCCACTTTCCTTCTCTGTCACCATAGTGGTCATTCTGATCATAGTTGTAGTTTCCTCTGTGGTTTCTGGTGGTTGAAGTTTGCCGATCCCGGAAAGAAACCTTCTGAAAAATAAACAAATAATAAATAAATAAGTAAAAGTGAATACGTGAATTCTACCAAAAGAAGCTTGCAAAATAGAACAATGTCAAAGTAATTGCTATTATTGCTACTGCTAATGCATTACTTACCCCTTAACCTCAACTATTTGGGGTTGGTTAGTGCTATCATCTTTAATATCTGAAAGAATATGGAAACTAGCAGCATGTATGAGAGGAATAGCCATGTTTTGGTGGCATTCTCCCATATCTATGAGTATCATTCAATACCAACTCATACACATTGTGTGTCTCTGAAATATCGGTTCATATCAAATTGATGCAACGCCCCCCCCCCACCCACAAAACTATATACGTACCAAACCTTGTCCATTTGGCCTGAAACTTGGTAGGAAATTTCAAACAGAAAAACAACAGGTTGTGATATCATTCTTTTGAGGAAGAAAACACTTAAATTGTTTTTTTTTTTTTTGAAACAAAGTTGGTTTGGGGTGCTTCATCACCACCAAACAAGAATTCTTCTTTTCTTTTGCATTTCTTTTTTCATTTGATCTTTCAAGTTTTAKTTGTTTACATATTTGGATACTTGAAATGCATGGATGTGCTGATCACCTGTTGACGGTGCTTTTGCTTGTATAGGAAGATCTATAAATTTTCTTTGAAAAAGTTGGGGAAACCCAGAACATGCAAAAAAAGAAAAAAAAAAGGTCCATCAAGTATGCCATGTGGGGCAGACACATCAAGCATATGAATTATCCTTGTGCCTAATAACTTAATACCCAGCCTATTTACATTAGAGATTAGACAAAACAATTCATTAAGGAACAAATTAAAGTAGGTTTCATGACAATGGAAAATCAGTGGCAAGTAATTGTCATATCATCTTACAGGATTTGGCAGATAGGTCCCTGTTCCACCACGATATCTAGGAACTTCATCACCATAACGCTGATAAACACCCGCAGGCCTATTAGAACCAGGCTGGAGAGCAACAGGAACAAAGCGGGGGCCATAGTTCATAAGCTGAGTGAAGAGGTTCATATTGGTGGAAAGAGGTCTTCCAGGGCCATCCCATGGGAAATGGCCCTGTAAATGCATTGGTGGTACCATAACAGGTGGTGGATATATCAAAGGTCCATGATATCGAGGGTTTTGGCAAGACCGTCCATATAGCAGATTTTGCCAATGACTGGCAAAATCACTATTAAGAATGTCAGATTTGTGCTCCTCAGAAGATTCCACAGAAGCAGTGCCTTTGATAGAACTAGAAGCACTGAAGTTTTCCTGCTGCTCAACACTTTCAGCTGAATCAAAGTTCTGATCAGATTGATTATGGCTATTATCCACACTCTCTTCTCCATCAAAATGGCTTGTAGATGCTTCAGAATTTCCCATTTCAGTTGAGAAATTGAACACTGGAAGCATTGTTACAAACGGAATAGGTGGCCCTGTGGGGTAAAAGGTAATAGGTACCATTCCAGAATTGTCCATAGCCCTTATTTGTAAGGGTTCATAACCAGGCATATGATGGCTTCGAACATGTGGTGAAGCCACAGATGATAGCCCCACACTTTGTTCTGCCATTTCAGTGCCAACGGTTGATAAAGGAATCCAGTCTCTGTTGTCATCATCTACTTGAGTAGAAACATGATCAAATGAAGGACCCTCGTGCTGCCAACCGCTCTTACCTTTCCCATACAAGGTAGAAGGAACTGCAGATGGAACCGTTTTCCTTCCACGTTTGTCCCTTGCTGACTTAGAAGCTCTCATAGACCCATCCCAGGAACTTTCTGATGACAGTTTACCTCTTGAAGAACTAGCCTGTGAAACAGATGAGGATCTTGAACTTGTAGTTCTATCTGTAGAGTAGATCTCATTTCCTCTGTTATTTTGGTACTGGAAAGTATCACCATGCTCCTCCCTTATCGCTCTGTTTTCTTTGACAAATTTCTGTTTAAAATAACTAGAAGAGCTACTCCCCCGAGAAGGAGGAAAGTTAAACCCTACTGAAGTTGACTGTTGCCTATCATCCGACTGTAGCATTTGGAGACTTCCATTATCAGAATCAAAGCCTCTGATGGAACCTTCATCCTGCTCATGCCAAAAACTGCGATCAACATCCTCTTGGTTTGTTTCTGTCAAACCCAAATTTTCATTACCTGTTTCACTAGTTTCTTCAGCATTTGACGTCAGTCCAACACCAGGAAAATAATGGGGTAATGAAGAAACTAGGCCAGGAGGAAATTGCATGTTTGAGCCCCAAGGAGGCTCAATAAAGGGAAAGTTAGTAGGAACCATCCCAGCCAGATTCCTTTGTGTACTATAACCCATTGTAGCAAGAACAGAAGGTGATATTGGAAGAGGTAGGTGAGCAGAAGCTGCTAAGTTTATTGGTATCTGAACCTGCCTATCAAAACTATGGACCCCGGAAGATGCCATCATGTTCACAAGGTCTTGCTCTTCTTGATGCCTCTCTATTGCCTCAGCAACAGAAGTAATCTCTTCTCTCACTGCACCCAGCCCAACCTCATCATTATAACTATTTGAAGCGCTATTTGAATCAACAGCAGCATCAAGGCTTTGATGGGATGAACTATGCCTCATTGATGAAGGATCATCAATTGAAGGTTTTGTATTTTGATTGCCAGAAACATCAGAGACCAAGTTCTTCCTCCTAGAGCTATAATCTGGCCTTGCAGAAATAATCTGATTTTTTCCTGTCTCTGGTACTTTATTACGCCTTCCTCGAGTTGAAACTTCACCAGATGAATCTGTAAGTTCTGGACTAGAGCGTGTCCTTGCAAAATGATACCTTCCCTGTACTTCATTCACCAAGTAGTCTGTTCTACTACTTCTCTGACCTTTCTCAGCATGTACACTGTCACTGGAGCTAATATTTCGTGCACTCTGATCAGAGGCCCTTGAGCTAGTTGTGCTGCCATAACTCTTCTGGCTTTGAGTGCAAGATATTGCAGATATATTACTAGTCCTAGACAAGCCTTCTGAGGGAGGGTTACTATGTTGAGAGTAGATACCATGATAAACATGAGCTGCCTCAATCTCAGATTCATTGCCAAAGGAATTCTCTACCTTCTTCTTGCTGCTTGAAGAGCACCTTGCAGTCTCAGATCCATCAATATTATTTGGTTTTAATGGTTGCAAATTCCACAGGTCAGGACTAGGAGCATCAGGGCGATGGCCACTGCCATGTCTCTCCCATGTATTCATGAAGAATTGATTGACTTCGGCAATTAAGTTCTCTTTTGGGCAATCAAGTAACCTGGCAAGCCTTTTAGCCCCAAATGCAAAGGCACTACGTATCCTAAAGAAATTTCCTGAAAAGAATGCAAAAATGATAAACCACATAACAATAATGCAACAACATATGTAAATGTATTCTAGTGGAACAATAGATAAATCCAAAAAATCCATGCAGGTAGTCAAATCGATTTCTACATGGAAGTTCATGTGGTTTTATACTTGGATAATAACACCATGTGTTTGTATATGCATCTATATCTGCTAAACATATCATGCCAGCATATTCATACCCTAGTTCACCAATTTGCATTTCCAATTAACATAATTGGGGCAAGCTAGTATTCATCATTGCATGCAGTACTTCATAAACATTGTTTGTAAAAATAAAGTCATTCCTCATTAGAAACACTCCATGAACTCTTAAACTGCAAAAAAACCTTTTTAATCATTATAACATTTTGTGATTTTACATGATGCTGTGTTAGAACTAAAATGAACTCATAAATGTAATTAACTCAACATAATTCAGGTTTGGAAACATTTTCCCTCATGTTTTTTCACCTTTTATCTTTTATTGTAGCTTTATGCTAAAATAGGATACCACTATAAATCTATAATTGTGAAAATAAAGTAAAGCTATCTACAAGAACTGAAGTTTTTTCTTTTTCTTTTGATCTTTTGTTTATTTTAATATAAATATTAAACAGGATTCATGATGATGATGATGACACGTTGAAGTAGAGAGGTGCATCTTAAAGTAAAACTTTATAAGATGTCTATAAGACAAGTACTGCCATATGACACAAACAGGATTCTTTTGATCTTTTGGCTTGAACCTTATTCTTAGGACCAAATCTGTACTCAATAAGTGATCATAAAGTACATTCCCAATTCATTCATACATACCCCCCCTGTAGATGTGTATGTCTGGTATGACATGGTCCCCAAGTGAACTCCACGACAGAGTTGGCTCCACAACTGCATTTGCCAAGCTGGGGCAAAGTCTGAGTGGCAAGTTATGTTCAATCTTGTCCGTCATCAAATAGTATGAAAGATTTCATGTTGACACTAATGCATTTGATCCTTCTAATGCAAAGTTTATTGCCTAAATATTTAACTGAGTGTGAATCCTTCTATTTGGTACAATTAAACACATCAATAAAGTTAAGCATTTTGCAAGGGGAAAATAAAGTCAAACATTTAGCATACAATTAAACACAAAAGAAAAGGAAAGTACGATGTCCAAAATGAAAATGATGGAATTACCAATCATCTTGCAGAAAATGTTACAAGAACATAATGAAAACAAGATTCACAGAAAAGCATAAAGTTGAATGTTTACTTACCTTTACTAACACTGCGCCCGAGGTTGTTGTTTGTACGCAAAGGATCAATAACATTGAAATGTTTGGAAACAAAGGGTTGATTCTGATTTTCTTGGCCACCAGGAAAAACAGCATATACCGTACTACAAGAATCAAGGAACACTTTGCTGAGTAATAGCTCTCCTCCATCCTTCCGAGGAGGTTCCGCTGAAAATTTTCATAAAGAAAGAATACACTGTCAAATTGACTGATATTTTTAATGGAGGTAAATAAGGAAATACAATGGGGAACACATACATATTATTCAACCAATCAAAAAAACACATGCACGTTATTCCATCTATACCTGCCATTTCCGGAAGTGAACTAATAGGGACAGGACCCCAGAGGCTAACACAAAAATTATCCCAATCAAAATTACTGAAGAATTCCAGGAAACGATATAAAACCTGTAGATGCAAGGAAGGACTTTCAGGAACAAAGTTTAATACATACACATACAAATACTTGTACACATAAAAGTTAACAAAAAAACAAAAGAATAATAAAGAAGGAAAAGGATTTGACAATACAGTTACCTCAAGTGGCCCAGCAAATTTATTATTGTAGACATGAAATATGTATAGAACCAAAGTCTCAAGAGCATAAGTTGAAATAAGTCCATGATGAGCACCCAGTATGCGGCTCTCGTAGTAGCACCACGCCTTAATCAGTATAATGCTGCGCTTGAATAAATGGTTTTGACTTATCAAATGGTCAACCTATATAAGAGAGGATTACTCATCAGTTGAACATTAAAAAACAGATATATCTACACAAAAGAATTTTAGAGCCACGTGATGAGGATAATAGCAACTCACCTCCTCAAGGAAACAAAGGGTACATAACCCACCAAGCTGGTTAAAGGATATATCTACAACTATGTTTTCTACAAGACATTTTATTATCTTCACCTGTAAATGGAACAGGGAAAAGGAAAAAGGTAAATCTCATCATGCTAAACAATGTGAGAAAGTAAAATTGGCAATAACAAATGGCAGGGAAAGATCAATTAAAAACAAAGTACTGGGGGTGAGGGAATTTACTGAAACTGTATCACTCCTGTATTCACAAAATGTTCATTTCCTTTTCCACCATAGAAATTAGAGAAAGGGTATTAATGCCAGCGGTGGACAGATAAATAAGCTTTGTTATGTAGAACAATATGCACAGTCAATTCTTTTTTGCCAGATACCCAACTAATGACATTTATCAGAGTAAAGATATCACCATCATAAATTAAATCCCATGATTATTCAAGGATTAACTGTTCTAACAAGGCAATACTAATGGAACTGTGCCCCCAACTAATGACATTATTCAAGGATTAAATCCCATGATTATACAAGGAACTAGGAAGCAAGAAGGCAAAAATTTTCTGGAGCTACTTATAAAATAAAAAATTCTGGAACTGTGCCCCCTTTCCTATTTTGGGGGACTTGGAAAGAAAAAAACGAAACATAAGAATATTCAACAGAAAATGAAAAAGATATGTGCTGATATTGGCATCATATCATGAACAGGGTGCAGGTCCTTCCAGAATTTTTAGATGTGCTTCTGAATCTTCTTTTTGTTCCAGGTTTTGGTCTACTCTCAATTTCGTTTGAATATATATATATATATATAGATGTTACAATTGCTGTTACTTTTCATTGTTAGTCAGCTTGCATCTATCTCATATAATCACTAGTCTTGCCCAGTGAACAGTGAGAAAAGTTCATCTTCACCATACTAAGAACCAAAGAAACCCAGAGTCAACCACTGTAGATAAATAGAAAATAAAGCAATATCTTTAAATGTCTACAAAAATACAAACTGTAGACCCTTGCCTTAATTACAACTCTATGTTTCCACAAATCTAGAGACAATAGCACCTGTGCTAGTATGCTGTTTCTGCTATTTATCTTCATCTGATAGTGCATGTGAGGAGAGCAGAAGTGGGGCTGTTTCTCTTTTCTAAGGGTGAAGGAGGATTGATAGATCTCTTCTGCTGTAATATTACCCCTGTGCCATGTTATTACTTTTTATTTAACAAAAGTCTGATAAATGCATGCTTGAATGCGTTGATCATTACATCACAGTTGATGAATCTTACAAATTACTAGCAAACTGTTTTACAAGTGACTTCCCAGAGTTGATAAAACTTCTTAATTTAAGAATGGTGAGACTGCATTTCATCTTCTAATCCCTTGCCCTTTTGTTAGCTTTATTTGGAATTGGTTTGCTGCCCTCTTTGGATGCAGATGGTCCTCTACTGACAGGTTAGAAGGATTGTTTAGCTCTACTGGTTTTAGCTGCACTAAAAGGAGGGGTAGGATCTCGGGAAGGTGTACTAGAGCAGTGGTGCTTTGGACTGTTTGGGAGGAAGGAAATGCAAGAACATTTGAAGAAAGAGAAAGAAGCAAGGAAGCCTTGGTAGAAATAATAACTTTGAGAGTGGCAGACTAGGCAAAAAGCATGAAGCTATTTTCAGATTTTAAGATTGAAAACACTTGTAGGGCTTGGGGTGTTATTGCTGCCTCTTCATCTAGAAGACAGAAATCTGCTGAGACATGGTCACCCCCAATAGGTGGCTGGAAGAAGCTGAATTTTGATGGGAGTTGTCTAGGTAATTCAGGCCCCTCAGGCATAGGGGGGCCATTAGGGATAAAGAAGGAAATGTTATTGCTTTATACTCCAGACATGTGGAACAAGGTGACATGGCAAGACCAGAGCTTTTGGCTGCAGTATATGGGGTTGAAAAGGAAAAAGAGTTGGGCATTAATAGACTGATCATTGAAGAAGGAAACATTATTGCTTTATACTCCAGACCTGCGGAACAAGGTGACATGGCAAGACCAGAGCTTTTGGCTGCAGTATATGGGGTTGAAAAGGAAAAAGAGTTGGGCATTAATAGACTGATCATTGAAGAAGGAAACATTATTGCTTTATACTCCAGACCTGCGGAACAAGGTGACATGGCAAGATCAAGGCTTTTGGCTGCAGTAAATGGGGTTGAAAAAGAAAAAGAGTTGGGCATTAATAGACTGATCATTGAGGGAGACTAAAAACTGTTGTGAAATGGCTGCAGAAGGGGAGGGGGTGACATGGCAATTGAGGAATGAATTTAGGCAATTTAAATGGCTAGCAAAGGAAATGTCAATCCGAGTTAGATGGGTGAGGGGAACTGCCAATAGCTTGGCAGATGGTTTAGCTAAACAAGGTGTAGAAAGAACTCATCTGTATTGGGCTCAATTGTAATTTTGGATTGGGTCAGCTTTCTAAAGTTGTGTTCTTTATTCACAACCTCTTGTTGCAACTTGCAACCATGATCTATTCTAATTAATGAAATAATTTGTGTTGCTGATAAAAAAATTACAATAGTGAGATAACCATAAATATAAAAAAGCCACATAAACATAAAAGATTTGTTGAGCATTTGCAACAAATTATTTATTGATTGGTTAATCACCAAACATTTCAACCAAAGTAATAAAATTAAAGAAAACACTTTAAAGTAGGTCTAAAACAAGACTAGAAATTCAATATGGTAGCCAAATGTGCAACAAACTAAATTGGCTGACATGACTACATGAATTGGAGATTGCCTTTCAAGTAAAGTCATTAAGACACCAAAAATGACATACCTCTGCCTGAATGTACTGAACCTCTTTTACACGGAACTCAGCATTCTCACTCTTCTCTTCATTCTCAAGCATATCACGAACCTCATTAGCCCAGGTTTCCTTCAAATTTGGATTCCTACTGAAAGCAGTTAGGTCAATGTCCCCATCTGGTAAATAGGTCTTTAGAGGTACAGATCCAAAAGCAAACACCTGTAAAAATGCCAACAGGCAATATTTTTAGAAACTGCCAGCAATAAAGGTCAGGGAAGAAACATGTGTTCTTGAAATGCAATTTCATATCTCAGTGAATGGAAAGAAAGAAATGCAACTTGTTGGTTGCAGTCTCTCTGGGGAAAGAAAAATTCTCTATGGTTGCTAGGGACACAATGAATACAAGTTCCCTTTTCTGTAAAAATGAATGAATGGATTGGTGGGTTAAACTAAAATTGTTTTTGTGTTTCATATGAATTGGATGGTCCTGGTAAACTTGCCTATGAAAATATTCTTGATATTGTGCTCTCCCATTCCTCACAGCATCAATAAGGAAGTCAATTTACTTTGGTCGGAACAAAAAATTCTCTGATATGTTTTGAAATAAGAAACAAGGGAAAAGAAAGCACAAAAGTGTGCAGGTGTACTAGGGACCACCAAAAAGTGGAGCTATTTAGGGACCAATGGGATCAAAGAATCCTCCATTTCATAATTTCATGTGTCCTATGGTGTTCGAACAGACATTGGTGTTACCTTTGGAGGATCTTTCATCCTTAGCATTTAATTTTTGTTCACAGAGCAAGGTTTCTGAAAGTTCACCTCGTTTCACTTCATAGAAATGATTCTTAAAGAGTTCTTTTAGCACAATGTCTCTTTTCATTGGATGGGATTTTGTAGAGATGGTCTCTATTGGTTGCTACTTCCTGTCTAATTTTCTTCCCTTCCTTTTGTTCTTCCTTTATTTGGCAGAGGGTCATTATTTGCAACTAGTTCCCTTTAGAATGGCAGAATATAGCAAGAAAAAAAAATGGAGGAAAAGCAATTTCAAACTTTTGGAAGAAACATGATAATAAGATTAACATTCTTTCAGAATGCTGATTGCAGGAAAAAAGGCCAATTTATAGGGCATTAATAACCAATGGTTTTATCATTTTTCAGGAGTTGATTATGGGTTGCAACAACTAAAACACTCACCAAAATGCAAACAATATGCCAAAAAAAAAAACGCAAACAATACAGATCAAATAAAACAAACCCGAAAGTGCTAACCTGACAGGAAATGCACTTCATGATAAGTCGTCGTACATATTCTGCAACAGCTTTTCTTCGCTCTTCTGAGGGTGGGTTGGGCTGAATGCAGGCAATGAGTTCTGCAGTTCTTTCTTCGGCTTTGGACCATCTCTCGGGGTCAAGAACTCGAGTTACCGAGGTTGTTTCAGTAGGCAAGAGGCCATTGGGCAATAGGCCACTTGGCTGTGACCAGCCCTCATGATCGCCCATGCAAAACTAACCCGTGGCTAATCGGTGCTCTCTTAAACAACTCCCTCCTTTGGATAGAGAGGGGGATAGAGAGAAAGCAAGCACAGACAGGCTACTTCTTTAAAACTTATGTCCTCTAATGTGCAATGCAAATAAAACCTATCCACACATTCAAAGAAAATATCAACTTTACAATTCTCTCAGTTTAGGATTTACCAGTGAAGATTTCTGGACCCCAAAATCAACTCTTCAGCGACCTCAAAATACTGAACCTTCGAACCTAGCAGAGTTGTTTAGTTTGAGGCAGAAGTTACAGCGTTAAGAAGCTACAATGCTACGCAGTTCTCCCTATACAAACTTGAAGACGGGACTTTCTCTCGAATGTTGATAATATGTATCCGTTAAAATAGCGACAGAAGGAAAAATTATTATTTTGATGAAAGAAACAGGCATCAAATTTGGAGACGCCACAAAAAAAGGATTCAGAACTAACCCTAGAAAGGGAAATAGAAAGCCTAAAAAGTAAATAAGACCAAAGACCCGGCGACGACGAATTCGCGCTTAGCCGGAGAATCCAGTTCGACAAAATTATCAAAACCCTGACAAAAACTACTCAGATGTTTCAGGGGAGGCCCCCAAAAAGAGGAAAGGAAAAAAAAGTATTACTGACAGCACCTAGAAAATCTGCAAGCTCAAAAATATTGCTTCAATGTCGACGAACCATAACAAAAGCAGGAGGTTTGGATCAAGTGGACCGAGAACACGGTTTGAACAATAACCATTAAACGTTCAATAATAATAAAAAAAAAAGGATGTATGAGAGAGGGAAATTTGTGATAACCTAAATGATAGTGTGCCCGACCGTCGAAGATTTAAATTGCAGACAGTTCGAAACTTCTTGCAATGGGATTTCAGGCGATAGATCCGTTGGGGTTAGGGTTTCAATGAGCTTCGAGGGGTTGGGGGTTGAAGATATATGAGAGAATGAGAGAGAGAGAATCTAAATATGAAAAAGAAAAATAAATAAAATAAAAAAGTTAAAATTTCAGGAATTTCATCCAGAATCTCAATTGTTCACACCAAAATTGGTATAGGGTGAAGTGAAAATTTGTTGTTTACTCTTGGATTGGCATCTATTTGCTTGATAATTCGGAATGACCACACGATGAAAAAGATAGATTCCAATTCTAAGGTTTCAAATGCTCCTATTGGCAGTAATGACCAATCAATATGAACTCGAAGAGATTAATGATTTAATGTTATAGAAAAAGAGATTAATGGTCTAATAATTTGCTCAGTTGGTTAAAGTTATTATTTATTAAAACTCTTCTTTAAGATTATGGTTGGTTGGAAGGAAAAGTAGGAAAAGATAGGAAAATCAGTATAAGAATTATAAAGGTTTTTTTACCTTTCCTTTCCTTTTCCTACATTTTCCTTTAAACCAAATATAGCTTAAATATCTGAACATTAGGCGGCTAGGCCCATCCAAAACATTAGCAAATTAACGTCCTAATTTTGTTATATTAATGTAAGAGCATGTATAAATAATAATAATCATATATGTGTATATATATTTATATTTAATTTTTTATTATTTATATAAAAATCAAATAATATTAATTTTATTATTTTATATAATAATATTGTAAGTTGAATTTATATAATAATATTAGTATAAAAACATTAATATTATTACAAGAAAATATTAATTATATATAATTTGAATTTAACTTTTTATAACTTGTACAGAACCCAATGCAAATATCTAATTTAGTATAAATAAATAAATGTAAAAGGGTTTCCTGAATCGGGTTAAGAAAGATTACTACAATCCCATATCTGAACTTGAGCTCATTTATCCAAGTTAATAAACATGTTTAGGTTACCGAATCAATTCAACCTGACATAAGGCCTGAATTTGGACTCGAGTTGGATTGGGCCCAAATTCAGTCCAGGATAGTAGGCTATCAGCATTAATTCAGTGAAAATATATAATATGGAATGCATAAAGTCATATGTACAAGTAAATATTAAGATATTTATAACATATGATATTTGAGTTTAACTGAAAAAAATAAGACAAGTATCAATAAAATATATAAATGACCTTAAAAAATAAAATAAAATATATGAATAAATTGGAGCCCAATACTTCCAGTGATATGATCTTTTTAAACTCTTTTATGGACGACTTTAATATAAAAGTTTGAAACTTAAACAGCCACCAATATTACTTGCAGAAAACACCCATAAAACAGGGCACAAGCTGATGTAAACAAGTAGGTAATTTAGAGGGTCTCTATTTTGGTGGATGGCTCAATTTGTCATACAATATTGCTTCCTCAACATAGAAGAAATATGATATTACCTCTGCTTCAATTCAACCACTGAGTTAGACCATACTAGACCAGCCAAATGATTATCCTTGTTTGTTAGTTACGAGCAAGGTTCAAAAATTTGATATGTATCGGTGGCTTCCCGATATGCTCTTATAGTGGGTGTTTTAAGGGATAGATGGGCCTTAAACCGACTCCTTTAAATCAGTTTGGCAAAAAAACTAAAAAAAAAATGAGCCAAGATACAGGCCGATACACCCCAACTGGTGTATCAACTTATATCAATATTTTGAACATTGGTTACGAGCCTCCAAAACATGGGCCCTAAACTTTGGACTTCAATGATCTGGATATCAAAAATCAAAATTTGTCGTTCAAAAGAAAAGAGCTAATTAACCTCTCAAGCCTCAATAAAGCCTAAGCCTGAACATAAAGGCCCATGTGGGAGGGTTTCTGTGTTGGCTGAGGTGTTTTAGACAAGTGAACTAAGATAAGTTCATTGGGAAGATGATTCTAATTAGGCTCATGCAAGGCAGCAGGATTATCTCACTATGAATGATGAATTGGGATCTCCTACCAATAAAACACGTTCCAACACCCTACCAATAAGATTTAACACCACACATCTCAGCATGAGACTTGGACTCACCATGTATGAGGAGTGTGATGTCAGATCATGTTGGTAGGATGTTGGGAAGTATTTCATTGGCAGTTGATCCGGACTTATAAATGACAAGGGAGATGTTTCCAATGCACTGCTGCAAAATAGAGTGTTTGTTGGTAATAGACCCAGCAATTAAACCCTATCATTACAGACTGAGGAAGCTTTTCCCTGATGCTTCAACTCTTTGCTCACTCCCCCCCCCCCCYCCCCATCCTATTACTGATTCTTTTTTACTTGGGCATGTCTTTTAAACGCTTTGTAACTGAAAACTTATTGATTGAATGGAACAGGCCTTAAGGCCCTTTGTGGCAATATTTGCCTCCTACAGTCCTAGTGTAAAAACTATATTTAGAACAAAGCATTTCTACATACAGATCTTCCTTTTGAATTGCTTACGGGTTAAGCACTTATTTATAGGTTTTGGGCTAGCCCAGTAATCCTATTCCCTAGCACAAATCTTTTTCTATTAACCCTCTCTTAGGATGTTTTAATCTTTAATGCTTAGTTTGGAAAGAGTGCAAATACAAATATATAGAGTGCAAAGTTTTGTGTGTGTGTGTAAAATTAAGTCAGAATTTACACTCAAATCATTTGCACTATCATAGTTTTGCATCAATACAAATTTATTTGCATTGAAACCAAACACAGCCTTAGGGACATCAGTAATATTGATCTCATCCACCATATGATCACCGTTGATGAGTCTTGCACACCTACTTATTAGTTTTCATGTACAATGAGAAGTCGATCCTCAGCACTTACAACAATAAGGATGATATTTTGTCTTCATTATTATGCATCTGATGTGAATTTGGATTGGCTCAACGCTTTAACTGTGTGGCAGGATGTGGTTCAAATGATAATAACCCAAGCGAGTGACAAAATACATTAGACCCACACTGAGATGTTGAATGATTGTGGGCTTCATGTATTTTATGACTAGTGTGGAATGTTATTATTGATCTCACGTACAGCTTGCTAAACAGCTAAATATTGCATTCAGCTAATCCCATCTCCTCCCATACAACTAAAATATGCCATTAATACTGCTCTCAAGTGGTAAAGTTTATGTTTGATTTGATAGAAAATGAGAGAAAAACGTAAAATTGAGAGAAAGTTCTTAAAAAAGTTATACGAAGGACCTGGGATCAATCCCAACCTTCAGCGGGGAATGGGGCTGGTTGTGTAGTTCCATAAAAAATCTATAACCTCATTGTTTTTCTGAAAGCAGATCTGTAGCCTCAATTATTTCTTGACATTTTCTTAAGGTTATTTAATATGAATAGTGTTAATATTTAATTCTAGGTGATACTAACTTGCTGGATGTATCCCACCAGCTAATTGAGTCTAATTAGTTACATCAACAAACGGGTCTTGTAATTGATCTTACACCAACCTCACAACACTTTTGTTGAGTACTAATTGATCTTAAATGCCTCCCTCTCGTATCAAGTCTTCCACTTAAAACTCAGGCCCTGTTTGGTTTGTGGCAATAGGGGTTTAGAATCAAAATCGGAATAAACTATTCCGATTCCAATTGTTTAATTGAGCAGAATCCAAATCCCATTCCTGTTGGAGTGGCATTCTCCCATTTGAGAAAATAGCCAGTTCCTGCCCTTCCCTTAGGAATGAAATTCCATTCCTATTGATTTCAATTCTCATTCTTATTGCTGTCTGAACCAAACAGACTATAGGATTAGACCATTCCGATTCCAGCTGCAAACCAAATGGACCCTCAATGTTTTTATCCTTTTAGTCTTTTCAAATTCTTTTGCATATTCCACCTGAGTTTCATCCATCTTTCTTAATTTCTATCGACTAACCTACTGAAGGATGTGCAAGTGGTTTAGCTCAGGGTCCAGGATTAAAGGGTAAAAGAAAGGGAGAATGATGGTTCAGCCCAGGGTCAGAATTTTTAAGCCCAAATTAGTACAATTGGGGTAGGTCTAGCAGGGAATTGATGCCAATTCACAGACAAGCATTGGTGTATAAAATGGGAGTTTTTGACATTTTGAATGTTTATAGATCTGCAGTGGAATTCATAAATCTGCATTACTTTTCAAAAAAAAAAAAAACTTACAATGCAAATGCTATGATTTAACTTTTATGGTTTATTTGCACAAATACCAAGTATCAGCCTTATATAGCATAGAACTATAGATGGATATAGATGCAGGTGCAAGGGGAAAAAAGTGTAACAGAACCCGAAGACCCTACCCCTAATGTATGTTTCCTTAGTTTCCTTTAAATTGCTGATTTGGGCCGATTAAAGACTTACCACTGATCTGTTCCTTTGGGCTGTGTTTGGTTGCAATATAAATAAATTTGTGCTGATGCAAAATTATGACAGTGCAAATGGTATGAGTGTAAATTATGACCTATTTTTGTTTCAAATTTTAGCTTATTTTGTTTAATTGCAATACAAATAAAGTAAATTAAGACATGAAGTAGAATAAAATAAAACCCAAAACAAAATTAAATGAGAATTTGCATTTTTTTCATTTACACTTCTATGCATTTGTACTAATGCAAATAAAATTGCAGTGCAACCTTAAGGCTCAAATCGGAAAGACTACAAATACACATATGTAGAATGTAAATCCTTGCATTTTATATGTATTTTGACTGTACATATTGTACTCTTTCCAAACTTAACCTTAAGACTAAATTTGAAAAGAGTACAAATTCAAATATATAATATACAAAACCTTGTATTATGTATTAATTAAGGCTCAATTTGGAAAGAGCGTAAATACAAATACATATGGTATAAAACCTTGTATTTTATATTTCTAAACATATATTTGCACTGTACATATTTATATTTACACTCCTTCCAAACTGAGTCTAAATAACATTCCCCTCAGCATGCACGATCGACTTTGATTCAGTACAATTTATGCGAAGAAGGTTTGACAATTATGGTGCAATACATTTCACTTATCCTGAAAAGACAAGAAAAAAAAATGTATAGTGGAATCC